CTCTTTTTTTTTTTTTTAATAATACACAATGTATTTATTTATTTATTTATTTTTATGGCTGTGTTGGGTCTTCATTTCTGTGCATGGGCTTTCTCTAGTTGTGGCAAGTGGGGGTCACTCTTCATCGCGGTGCGCAGGCCTCTCACTATCGCGGCCTCTGTTGTTGCGGAGCACAGGCTCCAGACGCGCAGGCTCAGTGATTGTGGCTCACGGGCCCAGTTGCTCCATGGCATGTGGGATCTTCCCAGACCAGGGCTCGAACCTGTGTCGTCTGCATTGGCAGGCAGATTCTCAACCACTGCGCCACCAGGGAAGCCCGTGGGTCTATTTCTGTTTTGTAGATAAATTCATTTCTTTTTTTTTTTTTAGATTCCACATATAAGTGATATCATATATTTGTCTTTTTCTGTCTTGCTTACCTTAGTATGATAATCTCTAGGTCCATCCATATTGTTGCAGAGGCATTATTTCATTCTTTTTTATGGCTAATACTCCATTGTATATATGTACCACATCTTTATCCATTCATCTGTCGATGGGCATTTACGTTGCTTCTACGTCTTGGCTATTGTAAATAGTGTTGCAGTGAACGTTGAGTTGCATGTATCCTTTTGAATTAGAGTTTTCTTTGGATATATGCCCAGGAGTAGGATTGCAGGATCATATGGTAACTCTATTTTTAGTTTTTTACCAAATTTCTTCTTGTTAGTGAAGATGAAAATATTAAAATTAATTCTTCTAAAACATCTCAGTAACTTTATTGTCAAGTTTGTTTTTCATTTATTTACAAATCATTACTCTGTGCTAACCCTAGCCATACACACCCTCAATGACATTAGACTGACTTGGGTGGCCTAAAACATATCATTTAAATTGCTTTTGATGTAATTGGCCCGTTAGGAATTTTCTCTTCCAGGAAAACGTATCATGCATTATTTATCAATAAAAGTTTTTTTTTTTTTAAGTGCATAAGTAGGTATTAGGGAAAAACATATATTATCTTATACCAGACCAAGGTTTGAGATGGCAGTTTTCTTCATTAGTAATGTCAGAAGACATATTTTTCCATTTAGCAAGCCACTGTAGAACCACTTAACCTGACCTCATGTGTGAGAAGTATAACAGACCATTCCCTCTTAGTAAAAGATTCTAAGAGTAGGGATGAAGCTAGCAAAGAGGAATGAGAAAAAATTTGCAGATAAGTTAAAAGCAAATCCTCCAGTCTGGTGAAGAATACATTTCTTTGGATTTAGGGTCTGAAGGCAGCTTCTCAAGTTCTGTCTTTGACATTTACTAAGTACAATAAAACAAGGTTGAAAAATGTCCATCGGATTCAGTGACATGGATAGCACTGGTGGGTTGGTGAGAGTTGTTTTGGAGAAGAGTTGGGAATGGAGTCAATTTGGGGTGGGTTAAGAAGAGAATGAGTGGTGAGGAAATGGACACTGCAAGTTTAGACAATTCTTTGATAACTAATAAGATTAAACATCATTTAGAATATGTTTATTGATCATCATAATTGTTTTGTAAATTGCTTGTTGATATTCTTTGGCCACTTAAAATTTTGTCGTTTTAACTGGCTTATGAGAACTTTTTACTTATTTACTTATTTATTTATTTATTTTTGGCTGCGTTGGGTCTTCGTTGCTGTGCAGGGGCTTTCCCTAGTTGCAGCGAGCAAGGGCTACTCTTTGTTGCTGTGCGTGGGCATCTCATCGTGGTGACTTCTCTTGTTGCAGAGCACAGGCTCTAGGCACGCAAGCTTCAGTAGTTGTGGCACGTGGTCTCAGTAGTTGTGGCCCACGGGCTCTAGAGCACAGGCTTAGTAGTTGTGAGGCACGGGCTTAGTTGCTACCCAGTGTGTGGGATCTTCCTGGACCAGGGCTCGAACCCGTGTCCCATGTATTGGCAGGCAGATTCTTAACCACTTTGCCACCAGGGAAGTCCCAAGAACTTTTTGTAAATTAAGTATTTTGTACATTTGAATCTTTAGTTTGTTTTTTCAATTAGAAAAGGGCTATATATATATATATATATATTTATATAAGTATAAGGGCTATATATATAAGTATATATTTGAATATATACTTATTATAAAAACAGTCTTTCCAAAAAATACAAAAATAAGTAAAGAGGGTCCCACCTTCTCTCTTCTACCACCTCACTCCATCTCAGTATGTACTGTGAACAGTTTGGTATGTGTTATTTCTGATCTTTTTCTGCATCTTTATGTAAATATATACAAACACACGTATATGGACATATAGAGGTGGATTTTTTTTTTTTCATAAATAGTAGCTTACTAAACATGTTATCTTGTGAATTTCACTGCTTTTTTGGGGGGAGGGATTTTTCCATATCACTACCCATGGAGCTTCCTTATTTTTTAATTTATTTCCATATTGATGTACATTTAGGATTTTCTGTTACAAAAAATGCTATAGTAAATCCTTATACATATACATGTTTGAGTATTTCTATAGTAGTGTAAAAAGTCTTTCTTTTAAATCTCTTAATTTTTGTTTTACACATTTGGATCTTTAATCTGTCTGGAAGGTGTTTTGTTATAAGATATGAAGGGCAAGTTTCTTAACTTTTTAGAGCTTCCCATCTGTTGTCTCTCACCTAAGAATAACAGTGCTACCCTCACAGGACTGTTACAAGGGTTGTATTGGATTCTAGGTGACCAGCACCATGTGTGGCACATACTGGACATGTTTATTCCCTTCCTTTCCTTCTAATTTGCCCAGCAAATTCAGGTAGTATCTGGGTGTGTTTATAGAATATGGTCTGTTTTTGCATATTCAATAACAATGTCATCCTGATTTCCTCAGTTTTGACATGTCTTACATTTCACAGAAAGGCTAACCCCAAAATTTTACCATCGAAATTGATGGAAGTTAGTAAGGCTCTACCATATTTTAAACTGGTGACAAACGGGAGTTTAAGTGTTGCCTTTTGCTTTCCCTTCAGTGTTAGGAAGGAAATGAAATAAAGCAAATAAAGCATACTGACAAGAGATGTAAGCAATCTAAAAGAAAAATATACATGAAATAAAGTTATTTGAAAGCCTTAAAAATGAGGGTCTTTTAAAATATCTTGGATCCTTAATTGCAATAAAAATTATTACTCTTTCAAATAATATGATGCATTTTGTAATTAGGTTTTGGCATTTAACTTTACAAGATTTTAATCTTTATGCACACTTATGATCTTATTATATATGTAATTGTTACATACTCTGTTTACAGAAGGACTAGAGGCAGCCATCTATAGTATTGATCAACTCCATGATGAGTTGACTCATTTCTGCCCTTATGTGCATCTTGCATATTTTATTGGCTCTTTCTAATTCATCATGGTATCATAGTGAGGCTACAGTAAAAAACTGTGATTACAGTAACTTAAAGAGACACAGGGTTAGTAAGCATTTTTTGTTTACCTGATTTCCTATGAGTGTCTCGGAATTTTGAACCAAAAAGTGCTACCGTAAGCATTACTATTTTGCCTGTATTGCTGATTTTTACTATCCCAGTTCTGTGATCAAGGAAGTTTGAACTAGAGGTGCCCCAAATATACGTTTGACTGCATAAATAGCCAACTTTTAAAAACCAGTATGGCTTCCCTTGTGGCACAGTGGTTGAGAATCCACCTGCCGTTGCAGGGGACACAGGTTCGATCCCTCGTCCGGGAGGATCCCACATGCCACGGAGCAGCTAAGCGCATGTGCCACAACTACTGAGCCTGTGCTCTAGAGCCCGCAAGCCACAACTACTGAGCCCACATGCCACAACTACTGAAGCCCATGCACCTAGAGCCTGTGCTCCACAGCAAGAGAAGCCACCGCAATGAGAAGCCTGCGCACCACAATGAGGGGCGGCCCCCACTCGCCACAACTAGAGAGGGCCCACGCGCAGCGACAAAGATCCAATGCAGCCTAAATAAATAAAATGAATTTTAAAAAATTAAACAAACAAACAAACCAGTATTCCACAGAGGCAGTCATAGAATGAACCTGTGGAACAATAACAAAATCTGAAATTTCATCCCCATTATTAAAATTTTACTAAAACATTTTATTCATTAGGTTTCAAACGTTTGACCTTATTTTGCAGGAAAAATAATTTCTCAGCACTGCCAGGCAGTCTTTTAATCTGTCAAATTCCTCCCATCCTTTTATCCTCTCACAATAATGACCTGTGAAAGGGCTAAGCCAGTTATCTTGTAGAATGTACTACATCCTGAATTTGTCTGACTAAATTCTCATGGTATAACTTCCTAATTATTTCAGATAACCTTTATCAGAAAGGATGGAGTTGGGAAGAGGAAAACTTCTCAGGACTGGACTGAATGCGTTGTATCAAGCAATACACCCAATTCACGGCCTTGCCTGGACTGATGGGAATCAGGTAGTCCTGACCGATTTACACCTTCACGGTGGAGAGGCCAAGTTTGGGGACTCAGCGGTCATTGGACAATTTGAACATGTGTATGGGGTGTCCTGGGCCCCACCTGGTACAGCTGACACACCTGCTCTGCTTGCTGTCCAGCACAAGAATCATGTCATTGTGTGGCAGCTGTGTCCTAGCACTACGGAGACAAGTAAATGGCTGATGTCTCAGACCTGTGAGGTTAGACAGTCACTCCCTGTCCTTCCCCAGGGCTGTGTGTGGCACCCAAAAAGTGCTGTCCTGACTGTGTTGACTGCACAGGATGTCTCCGTTTTCCATAATGTTCACTGGGACAGTTCCCAGGTCAAAGTGGACATCAGCACCCAAGGCCTCATTCACTGTGCATGTTGGACCCAGGATGGCCAGAGGCTGGTGGTAGCAGTAGGCAGCAGCGTGCATTCTTATATTTGGGACAGTGCTCAGAAGACTCTTCACAGGTGCTCCTTCTGCCCAGTGTTTGATGTGGACAGCTACGTGCGCTCAATCGGAGCCACTGTGGACTCACAGGTCGTTATAGCCACTGAGCTTCCACTAGATAAGATTTGTGGCTTAAATGCATCTGGAACCTTTGATGTTCCCCCTAGTAGTGAAGGCACTTGTCTGTATACTTTACCAGTTATTGACGAAGTTTCTTCTGAAACACCAGTTTCTCCCTTTTCTTCATCCTTTTCTGATCCTCTGGATCTAACTCATATACACTTTGATAGATCTAAATCTGAGGCTGGTTCTCTTATTTGTCTAAGAAAAAAGGACTACTTGACAGGAACTGGCCTGGATTCTTCACACTTGGTCCTCTTGACCTTTGAGAAGGAGGTTACCCAAAACAGAAAAGTCACCATCCCAGGCATTCTGGTTCCTGATCTAATGGCGTTTAATCTTAAAGCACAGGTAGTCGCAGTGGCTTCCAATACGTGTAATATAATTTTTATCTATTCTGTCATTCCATCATTTATGCCAAACATCCAGCACATTCAGTTAGAGAGTAATGAAAGACCAAAAGGCATGAGTTTCTTGACAGATAAATTATTGTTAATTTTGATAGGAAAACAGAAATCCACTGATTCGGCATTTCTTCTTTCTTCAAAGTCAGATCAGTATATGATTCGTTTGATTGTTAGAGAAGTTATGTTGGAAGAAGACTCTCCAGTGACACTGAGTGAAAACCAGAGTGGTTACTTTGCTTTCAGTACTCTGTTAAATAAAGCAAATAGAAAAAAGCTAATTAAAAGTCTTTCCCCAGATTTTTGTCACCAAAATGGAGGGCTCTTGTTAACAGCTAATAGCAGCAGTCAAAGTGGAAGGCCTGGAAGAACCCTTATTCAAGAAATCAGAAGTCCTCCATCCAGTATCTGTGATGGCTCCACAGCCCTAGAAACTCTAGATGCCGGGCCTGTTAACCAGTCGGTAACACTGCCCGGACCCAGCGGCACACCAGACCACAACAGCACCGCGGGACCTCCTAACTTACAGGTGGAAAAGGAAAATTATCAGCTATCTAAGATACTGGAAATTTTATCTAGGAACCTGATTGAAGTGCAGCAGCGTCTTTCTGAACTCACAGACTTTCTACATAATGGAAAGAAATCCTCTCCAGTGTATCCACTCTCTCAGAATGTGCCTTACGTTCACATCACTTGCCAGGTAACTTCTCCTTTGAGGAGCTACCACTGGCTCCTGCAGCCAGTAGGTACTGCAAGAGAAATTTATTGATGAGGAATTAGTATTCTAATTGAACTTCACTGATCTGGACATGTTATATTCAGGCAAGTTGTTATACCTTTCCAGGTTGGTTGGATGGGCACACATACCAGTATGAACCGTGATTTTATCATGTGCATGGTGTGAAAACATGAATGATTGTGCTCATTCTGGCACTCTATGTTTAGAAAAAAATTTTTTTAATCCATGCTGTTTCATTGCGAAAACCTTTTCCTTATGCAATTGCAGACACTCTTCTATTTATAAGAGAGCTTATAATAGCATAACAGCATAAGATTATAACAGCATCTTATAATATGCTGTTAAAAGAGAGGTTATAGTCATTAAAAATTTTTAATGCATCTGTTTATGCCTGTATACGCAAACAAAATATTATATAGTGGGATCATACCATATCTGTTTTTATCATGAACACTTTCCTTTCCCATCACACTTGGCCCTGCTCCTCCTCCCTGTAACCCACCTTAACTAGCAGCTTAATGTGGATCCTTTCATATTTTACTTCACACTCATATAATCTTAACACAGGTCTTTGTATACGTAGGTATATAGGTGCTGGGGGTGTTGGTGGTGACTTTGTCATTGTTTTACAAAAATGGGGCTGTATGGTGCATTCTTTACTTCATGCTGAGAGTATGCTGTTTATTCAGCCTTTCCCTTGCTGGTGGACATTCACTTTCTTTTCGGTTCTTAGGCACTCCAAATGGTGCTGCAATAGTATTCTCATATGTATCTATTTGTATTCATACTTTTATTTCTCTTGGCTTGGTTCCCAGAAGTAGAAGTGCAAGTTTGAAGAGTATATATATACACACATATATATATGCTTCTACTTTTAATAGAGTTGACAGATTGCCTTTCAAAGATTTTTTTTACTAAACAATGCATCATCACATGTCCATCAGCGACCAATGAGACTTTTTTCCTCACTTCCTTACCAATCTGATGAGTGCAAAGTGGTATTTCACTTTTATTAATTTGTATTTCCTTTACTATTAGTGAATTTGAGTATGTTGTCATGGTTTTTGGCCAATTGAATGTGAATTGCGTTTTGCTCATTTTTTCCTATTATCAGTTTACAAGAGCTTTTTTTATATTATAGAAATTGATATATATGTAACAGTCTAGATTTTCTTGAATTATTTTACTATATTGTTTTTACATTATTTTTTTTATTTTTTATTTTTTTGCGGTACGCGGGCCTCTCACTGTCGTGGCCTCTCCTGTCGCAGAGCACAGGTTCCGGACGCGCAGGCTCAGCGGCCGTGGCTCACTGGCCCAGCCACTCCGTGGCACGTGGGATCCTCCTGTACCAGGGCACGAACCCGTGTCCCCTGCATCGGCAGGCGGACTCTCAACCGCTGCACCACCAGGGAAGCCCCACTGTTTTTACATTTAAGTTTTTAACCTTTATTAACATTTTCTGAAATTTAGATAACCAGTTGTGCTACCAACATTATTAAAAATCCATCTTTATCCCACTGAACTTGATCTACCACATTGGTCATATATAAACTTATATATACTGAGATCTAATTCTGGATTCTTACTGCAGCTACTGTAATGCTGGTCTCTTTATCTAGAACTTTAACAATACCACACTGATCTGATTACTGTGGACTTACATATCTTTGTTTTAAAAGATATTTGCAGAAAGTTGGTATTGAAATCAATAATAAACAGTATGTAAATTACTATTTAAATAATGGTCAAAAGAGATATTTTAATTAGTTTTTTCATAAAGCTACTGTTTGACTCAAGGACATAGGTTTTTAAAAGAACCAAACACTAATTTAAAACTGAATTAGGGCTTCCCTGGTGGCGTAGGGGTTGGGGGTCCGCCTGCCGATGCAGGGGACGCGGGTTCGTGCCCCGGTCTGGGATGATCCCGCATGCCGCGGAGCGGCTGGGCCCGTGAGCCATGGCCGCGGAGCCTGCACGTCCAGAGCCTGTGCTCCGCAGCGGGAGGGGCCGCAGCAGTGAGGGGCCCGCGTACCGCAAAAAATAAATAAATAAATAAATAAAATAAAACTGAATTAAAATATTTTTAGTATAAAAAATTTCAAACACATAAAATATATTTTTAATTATGAAAAAATTGTAAACATAGAAAGAATACCTAATGAAACCCTATCTATATCTATCACCTGGATTTAATGGTTGTTAACATTTTACCATAATTGCTTCTTTTTTTTGTTTTCTAAAATATTTTTCTAAGTAGAGGCATCATGGTGTTTCACCCATAAGTATTTTGGGATGTTGTTCTAAAGTGTAAGCACATTTTCTTTAATTATCACTGTACCATTATCATACTTGATAACATTAACAATAATTACTTAATATCATCTAATACCTACTTCTTATTCAAATTCCTAAATTGTCCCCCAAAGCGGTTAAATCACAAATCAGTTAAAAATCAGTTAAGTCACTGATATAAAAAAATTTTTTTAATTAATTTCACAAGCACATTAGTGATCTTAGTTATATTATGTACCAAAGCTAATTGAAACAAATATTTATAAACATTTAACATCCCAATCCTAGATTTTTGAAGAGGATTTTCCCCACATTGTCTTCAGCCAAAATATTTAAATGGCTTTATTAACTACATGAAGTTTTCAGTGTATTTTCAATAAACAGATTTTTTATTTTTAAAAATTATAGTACTAAGTGTGAAATGTAGTTTGGATTTTTTTTTCCTTCCATGACTTTTCAAATATTTTTTCTTTTTTCCCTTTTTATTTCTCTTTTTGAATAGGCAATTCATTTACTTGCTTTAAAAAACAAAACATTCTTTCAATAGAAAGGTGTGTACTGAGAATTCTTAGTTTCACCCCATCCTTGTTCAGCTTGTTCCCTTCACCTCATATAGGTATTAACCATTTTTATTTTTATTACTTTATTCAGATATTAGCAGATCTTACTATTTATTTTTATTTTTCCTTTTGTTACACAAAAGGTAAGGTACTATATACAATGTTCTGCATCTTTTTCCATTTAGTTACCTAGTCTCAAGAACTCTGTCAGCACACAGAGCTTTTTAAATTTTTTTAACAGATGCATAGTATTTTTTTTTCCTAATTACAAAAGTAATGTATGCTCATTGAAGAAAAAATTTAACCAATATAAGCATATTTAATGTTTATTGGTTTTTTAATATAAGCATATTTAATGTAAGCATAAGCATACTTAATGTTTGTTTATTGGGTTTTTTGGCCATCCTGCGTGGCTTGTGGGATCTTAGTTCCCCAACCAGGGATCGAACCTGGGCTCTCAGCAGTGAAAGCGCAGAGTCCTAATCACTGGACCACAGGAAATTCCCAAGAATATTTAATGTTGAAAGTAAAAATTCTTCATAACCAAACCCGTAGATAAAATCACAGGTATAGTTAGTAAAAGAAGTATTTATTCCATTTTTTTCTATGCATTTACTAAAACCTTTGTCGATCTAAAAGATATAATGTCTAATTGTTTGATTTTATTTTTCTTTAAATAGATTATTTATTTATTTATTTATTTTTGGCTGCATTGGGTCTTCATTGCTGCGCACAGGCTTTCTCTAGTTGCGGCAGGCAGGGGCTACTCTTCGTTGCGGTGCTCGGGCTTCTCATTGCGGCGGCTTCTCGTTGCAGAGCACGGGCTCTAGGTGCACAGGCTTCAGTAGTTGTGGCATGCAAGCTCAGTAGTTGTGGCGCACGGGCTTAGTTGCTCCGCGGCATGTGGGATCTTCTTGGACCAGGGCTCAAGCCCGTGTCGCCTGCATTGGCAGGTGGATTCTTAACTACTGCGCCACCAGGGAAGTCCCTAAATAGATTATTTTATCAAACAATATATACTTTTTTACAAATATTTTTACAAATATTTATATTTGTAAATGCATTTTTTCTAAGTAAAAAGAAATGTGTTTTTTGCCTTTCAATTCTTCATTTTCTCAGTTTATAATGAGCTAGTTCAGCCAAGCTGTTATCAGTAAGTACTTCTGGAGGTAGAATTTTGGGGACTTTACTTTCTGCATTATAAATTTCTGTTTTCTTTATGTTGAGCATATATTTCTTTTTTAATGAGAAAAGTAAAAGAAAAACAAAATAAAAGCAATGAAGAGTTGTTCCCCCTATAATATCAGAAGCGACATTTCATAAGAGTTAAGATGAATAATTAGTTGCTTATGGCCCTTACAGTTTATTCATGTGCTATCTTTTCAAATGTTATTACATAGTAGACATACATCTTTTGAGCTGTTCATCCTATCACAAATGGAGTACAGTTTACCTTTTATCGTTGAAATTATTTTCAACGCGCCACCGTAGTCAGAAAATGAGTAGTGATAACTTTAACAAGAAAATAAGTTAGACACATAACTTATAAAACTTTAAGAAATGCTTACATGAAGATATTGTCTCATAATATAGAATTAGAAGTTATATATATATATATATATATATATATATACACATATATAACGTATTTTAAGTATTAGTTTTGACAAATATATATATATATATATATATATATATATATATATATATATATATATATATACACACACATAAAAATACATATGATACATTTTTTTGCGGTATGCAGGCCTCTCACCGTTGTGGCCTCTCCCGTTGCAGAGCACAGGCTCCGGACGCGCAGGCTTAGCGGCCATGGCTCACGGGCCTAGCCGCTCTGCGGCATGTGGGATCTTCCCAGACCGGGGCATGAACCCATGTCCCCTGCATCGGCAGGCGGACTCCCAACCACTGCGCCACCAGGGAAGCCCTAGAAGTTATATTTTTTATTCTATGTTCTATGAATATACCTTTGGACTCAATGTGTCTTAAAATAGAGCTATAATTGTTCTATATTTTCTTTCTGTATGGATATTTGCAAACATTTTCAAAGATGCATTAATTTTTAATATAACTTTTTAAAATTTAAAAATCACTGTTATTTGTACTTTTTCTAAGCTAAGTGAATTTTTACCACAGTTTGTTTATTTTACTTATGCAAATCCTCTGCTACTCCACGACTTAGGGCAGTCTTTCTTGGCATTTTTTTCCCCAATAAAGAAAACGTAAAACTTCTTAGTTATACAGGTATACCTAGTTTTATTGCACTTCAGAGAGATTGTGTTTTTTACAGATTGAAGGTTTGTGGCAACCCTGCATTGTCAGATGATAGCTTTTTTTAGCAATAAAGCATTTTTAAATTAAGATATGTACATTATTTTATTAGACATATGCATCTGCACACTTAAATGGACTATTGAATATGCATTAGGAAACCAGAAACTTTCATGTGGCTCACTTTATTGTGATACTAGCTTTATTGCAGTGGTCTGGAACCAAACCTGCGGTATCTCCAAGGTACACCTGTTTCTACAACAGCCAAGCAGTTGTTCCTCACCATCAGATTTTATCTCTCAGGCTGCTATCCATCATTCTGTAGTGTTATTAGTCACGTCCTAGGAAAGCCAGTTCCTAGCAATAAGGACATAACGCTGGGGAAGAACAGAGCAAAAGGAAATTAGGGGTTGTGTTTTGTCTGATTCTTTAGTTGTGTTAAATGATGCAGCAAAAAGCTCCTTTTTTAAAAAACTGAAGTCTAGTTGATAGCGGTAACAGGAATTTTTAAAACTACATATTCTATTCTTAGGAAATGTTAACTCCATTGCTTCTGCAATCAGTTTAACAACTTTTATTTTTATATTTGAAGAAATCTTATTTTTTAGGTCCTGTTGTAGAAAAAAGAGCTGTGCTTCTCTGCAACGGCAAGCTAAGACTCAGTACAGTCCAGCAGACTTTTGGCCTCTCTCTTATTGAAATGCTGCATGGTAGGTAAAATTCAGAAATTGACTCTACCTGACACCCCCTCCCTCTATTATTTAACTCTCACTGGTGATGAAAATGAGGTGTACCAACCATTCAGTGATTCATTAGATAGTTTAAAAGTATTATTAATTGCCTATTGTATGCCCAGGCCGATTATAGGTGCCAAAATACATGGAAAATATGGGTTCTACCCTTAAGGAACTTACAACCTAGCTGGAAAACCTAAATGTACACATGAAAAAACCAAATAGAGTTATGAAGCAATATATAACAGCTGCAAGGAAATAACATAAAAACCTCATATACACTTGTTGCACTAAAACATAAAGATCATAGCATTGCAGAATATTTCTTTTGTGTGTGTGTGTGTGGGTGTTTTATATATACATTTTTTTTTTAAATATTCTTTTCCACTATGGTTTATCACAGGACACTGAATATAGTTCTCTGTGCTATACAGTAGACCTTGTTGTTTTCTTTTTTATTTTTGGCCGTGCCATGCAGCTTGTAGGATCTCAGTTCCCCGACCAGGGACTGAACCCTGGCCATGGCAGTGAAAGCCCAGAATTCTAGTCACTAGGCCACCAGGGAACTCCCACAGAATATTTCTTAAGGGAATTGTCATTTTAATATGCAGCAGACTTGTGGACATGAAGGATACTCCTAGCTGGCAAGGGACTGAGTCATGCCTGTGTTCCATTCAATGGAGAGCATGGCGGTTTTCTTATGCCTGAGTCTTCAGGACACCCACTACACTGAACATAGAATTTTGTTTCATCTTTTCCCCCTTAACATTGTAGCATCAGCATTTTTCTATTTTGACACATGCATTTATGATATGACTTCATAACTGTTATTTTTACTGGGTTAATAGTCTATCCTGGGTGTACCATATTATTTTTTACTTCCAGTTTTATTGAGATATAATTGACATACAGCACTGTATAAATTTAAAGTGTACAACATAATGATTTGACTTACATGCATCATGAAATGATTATCACCGTAAGTTAGTGAACATCCATCATCTCATAGATAGAGAAAACTTTTTTTCCTTGTGATGAGGATTTACTCTTTTAATACCATATTTTACTTGGCCATGTTTTCTTTGACATTTAGGTGGTTTCCAATTTTTCATTATCATAAATAACCATAATAAAAACCTCTCTGCGTATTTTACATGTTTTTGGAAAGTGTAGATTTTTAGAAGTGAAATTACAGGGTCAACAGGTGAGACACAGTAGACTCGAAAGAACCAGAGAAAGTCCAGGTATGTATTATTGCTAGTGGCCCTAGGTTACCCCAGAACAAACTATTTAGGATTATCTGGGCCATTCTAGTCTAGCTCTAGTCAGCTCAGCCTCCTTGGGTGTCTAGAGGCTGGTATGGATCTCAAGAATATAGAATTTTCCTCCAAAGAGTAGCCGTTCCCAACTTCACATAGTTTCTAGAGAAACTGCTTAACAGCATGTATTGATATATAAGTTAGGAACACCATACACCCCTAACACCTGTGTGCACACATGCACACACAAGCTCAAATGCATAGCACTGAGTGATTAATGCCTAACTTGGGTGAAAATACATGTCCCTTAGCTATGCCTGTCATTAACATCCCCTTGCTGCCATGTAACCTGACCTTAAGTTTATACCGGGTCCCTCCATCTCCCCATTCTCTGTAATGTCTTGTGATGGTCAGGTTCCTCAACTACTACATTCTTTTCCTCAAAAAAGTCGTATTTGTCATATTTTTCTTTATAGAATAAGACAGGATGTCCTAAATTGCCTGTGTGTTTATTTTACTTTGCAGACTCCCACTGGATCCTTCTCTGTGCTGATAGCGAAGGCTTCATTCCCTTAACTTTCACAGCCACACAGGAACTAGTCATAAGAGATGGTAGGTCAAATGACTTTAGGGGCCCTGTCTCTTGAAGTCTTTTAGAGACATACTGCCCAAAGCGTAGATGCCATCGGCTGTTCTAACCATTTTGGCAGTATAGTCTGATACTTGTTTATAGAATATCTGCTGCACAGCCTTTCAGATGAGGATTTTACAAGCAAGATCTGTTTTCCAACGTGGACGCTCCCCAGCTAGGATTTGTACTGTCTCTGGGAGGTGAAGAACTTGCCATGGCTAGCTCGGCCACCTCTCCCCGCAGGCTGACATTGCCTACTCTCAGCAGAGCCCAGTCTTCGGTAGATGGCTCAGAAAGTGGTTATTTATGTATTCATTACTGTGTGGTTTTGTCTAAGGGCAGAATTCCTGGTGCAAAGCGATTTTATGGTGCCATGTGGATTGTGTTTTATGGTTTCTCTGAGGTTTTTTTTGTCCCTTATCCAAAACAGTGTTAAAGCCCTTAGAAGCACTTAAAAGGTACCTCAGCATTGTTATAAATCTTTTTCTTGGCTTAAAGTTGAGTGTGAGGAGTGCTGGAGAACATCTGCTGAAGCCTATCTTTTTACCCCAAACGAGCAGGAATCAGCAGAGCTCAAAGGAAGACAAAAAATCGATTGACTTCTGCTCCCAGGGCTACCTAGAACAGAAAGTAGTTCTCATGTTGGCTGGACCTCCCAGGATATAAACCTAACCCTCTCACTTCCCTAGAAAATTCTGGCTGACATAGTTCCAGGTACTCCTAAAATCTGTCCCTGGGCAAATTTCAAATGAAATTTCAAGTGCTTTGACTCCCTCTGGACGCCACTTGAGTGTGTCCTGATGTTACTAGTATAATGCTAAGCATAGGTGAGGCCTACAGCATGATTTGTGCTGTTGCCACTCATGATTTTCTCCCTGATAGGTTACCCACCCCGCCATTGTTGGGATCATAAAAATGTCCTTTTTTTTCCCCAGTAATCAACTCCCTTAAATTGTCACTTTAATTTTGATATTTTTCTTCCCCTCACCCCCCGGATTCAAGTCTTAGAGACCAGTATAGAATCTGCGAGAGAAAGTATTTCAAAAAGTTGGAGGTTTCACTGAATCTGAGATAGTTTATTATAATTATGGGCTAAAGCACCAGCTTAGCATAGTGGAAAGAGCCCTGATTCCAGCTTCAGATAGATTCACCTTTTCTCACTGCCTTCAGACAGTCATAAGCTTCAGTCACTGAAGCATAACAAATGGATCAGTGTATAGCTGGTCAGAGCACATCTGCAGATAAATTGTTTCAGCCATAGGAGCTCAGATGCATAAGCTCAAGTGCATCTTTTTCACCCTTTCTTTTAAAGTCATCTGGAAAGAAATATTTTGTACCCTTGAGGACTCCTGTTGGTCTGTTACAGTTTATGAAGGTGGAGCTGGGATAGGGAAGAAGCGAGGGCCCACTTTGTGATTGAAATGCATTAGAGGAGCTGCTGGGATAATGGAAGTGGAGCCCCGGGAATCAGTTGCCTGAGAGCATTGGCTGAGGACAGTCTGAGGCCTGCTTCCATTTTCAAAGAAAGTGTCCAGGTGGGGTGAAAGCACAGAACTGTGAAGCCTCAAGAGGGGGTCTGGGGTACCCCATAGTAAGATCAGTGTAGGTCCCGCACTCAAGGTGTATGTTATAATCATTTTGCTGGTCAGAATCCTGTGAATGAGTCTTCAATAAAATCACTAATGGTTGCTATGGCTTTTGTGAATGTTTTGATGGTGTTTGCTTTGTGATTGTTGCTGGTATAAAGGAATGTTCTTGATTTTACATATGTGTACGTTGCCTTTGTATTTCTTCTGGTGGACAGTCGAGAACATAAATTTTTTCTTTCTGGCAAATCTGATTCCATGACAACTCTCAAACATAAGATGTTTCCTTGGCCTTTACTATTTATAATCATTGGAATCATAGAAGATAATCCAGTATTTGTTGGTTTTGGGAGAGAAGGAAACAGGGAGAGAAGAGCTAAATTCTTTAAATTATTGTTTAATGTTACATTGAGAATATTTTGCATAAAGACATTATTTATAATCCTATTTTGGGCCCACATTTTAAAAAATTTTGTACGGTATTATTTGATAAATGAAACAGATGTAAGGTGTAGGAAGGCTTAATAATAAAGTGAACCACCTACCACCTAATTTAAGAACCAGAACGTTACTAGGAACCATTCAAACTCCCTGTGTATCCCTCCTGGATCCTTCTCCATAGAGGTAACTCCACCCCAGAGGTGACTAATCTCTAGATTGTTGTAAATTATCATTTCTTCATTTCTTTTCTTTTTATTTTTTATTCTTTATTTTATTTTATTTTATTTTGGCCCCGCCGTGCAGCTTGTGGGATCTTAGTTCCCTGACCATGGATTGAACCCAGGCCACCTCAATGAAAGCGCCAAGTCCTAACCATTAAACCACCAGGGAATTCCCTCTTCCTTTTTTTTTTTTTTTTTTTGTCGTGGCCTCTCCCGTTGCCGGACGCGCAAGCTCAGCGGCCATGGCCCACGGGCCCAGCCGCTCCGCGGCATGCGGGATCCTCCCGGACCGGGGCACGAACCCATATCCCCTGCATAGGCAGGCGGACTCTCAACCACTGCGCCACCAGGGAGGCCCCCCCTCTTCCTTTTTAAAAAGGAGTTTCACCATGATCACGTATACACATTGGCCTAGATAATGTAATGTTTTTGAGCTTTATACAATGGTATTTTATTGTATGTACTCTTCTGCAACCTTTTTTTTCTCTCAGTATAGTTTCTAAGGTTCTTACTTGTTATGTGTATGTTCTATTGCTTTCATTGTTTTAAGTTACCACAATTTATCCATTTTCTTGCTGTGTACATTTGGATTGTTCCCTGGTTCTATTTTTGCGATTATAAACAATATTGCTTTGAATATTCTTATTAAATGTCTCCTGATGCAGGTGTTTGAAAAGTCCCCCTAGGGCCTTTTATCTAGACGTGGAATTGCTGGAGCACAGGGTGTATGTAAATTCAAGTTATTTTCCAAGGTGATTATATCAGTCTTCATTCCCAATAGCTCCTATTGCTCTAAGGCTCAAGGGTTCTTAATTTATGACCCTCCAATAGTTATAAATGGTTTCTCCTTTAACCTGATTTTTACTTCTGGACCAACAGTGAAATTGAGCATCTTTCATGTGTTTATTGGCCATTCCAGTTTTCTCTTTTGCAAAATGCCTGTTCTTGTCTTTTGCCCAGATTTCTATTGGGTTGTCTTTTTCTTGTTGAGTTGTAGGGATTCTCTTCTCTTTTTAAATTGAAGTATGGTTGACTTACAGTATTATGTTACCAAGTTGTAGGGATTCTTTATATATTCTAGATGTTGTTAGTATGTGGCTAATATCTTCACCCAGTTTGTGACTTGTCTTTTCTCTTCCTTGATGGTGTGTTTTATTAAACAAACATAGTTAATTTTAATGAAGTCACTTTTTTTTATTGAAGTATACTTGATTTACAATGTAATGAAGTCACATTTATCTTTCCTTTTATGAAAGTTTTGTCTTTCACATTTATTTCTTTAATCAACATTCTGTTGGGTACTTGAGTGGGACCCTCTCTGTAGATCTCCCGAGTTTTCTCTTGAGGAGTAGCTCACTCCTCCACTATTCTGTCCTGCAAACTCTAGCCACTTTGGTCTCTTCCAGCCCATCTTCTCAACTCAGGGAGCCCTTTGGACTCTAAACTGGTTCTCTTCACTGTCATCTGGAAATTCTCAAGGCAGTAAACTGGGGCAGTTGTAAATTTCACCTCATTTGTTTCCCTTCTCTTAGAGATACTCCTTTGTTGCCTGATGCCAGTGCCTTGAGAACTGTTGTTTCATATATTCTGTCCAGTTTTTTTTGTTGTTGTTTGTTTGTTTTTTAATAAACCAGCCAAGAGGTGAGATCTGGTCTCTACCGCTCCATCATGGCCAGAAGCAGAAGTTTTTCCACAATTTTATTCATTTATTCTTAGGTACTTGATATTTTTTGTTGCTACTGTGAATGATATTTTTTAAAAATTATATAAGTGTTGCATATAAAGTGCAATTCTTTTTAGTTAATTTTATATCCAACTACCTTGCTATACTGTCTTATTAATTCTAATAATTTATCTGTAGATTGTTTGGGTTTTCTATGTAGGCAATCGTATCATTCACAAATAATGAAAATTTTGTGGATAGTGGGCATCCTTTCCTTATTCCTGATTTTAAAGGAACCGTTTCATCCTTAAAAGTGATGTTAGCCAGAGGTTTTTGGTAGATACCCATTTTTTTTTTTTTTTTGCAGTACATGGGCCTCTCACTGTTGTGGCCTCTCCCGTTGTGGAGCGCAGGCTCAGCGGCCATGGCTCACGGGCCCAGCCGCTCCGCGGCATGTGGGATCTTCCCAGACCTGGGCATGAACCCGTGTCCCTTGCATCGGCAGGCGGACTCTCAACCACTGCGCCACCAGGGAAGCCGTACACTTTCTTATGTTTAAAAATTTCCTTTTCTTCTTGGTTTTTAAGTACTTTTATCATAAATGGGTGTTAGATTTTTATCAAATGGTTCTTTCTGTATCTATTGAGACTGTAATTTTTACCTCCCTTAATCTGTTAATGTGGTGAATATCACTTGATGCATTTTTCTAACATTAAACAAACTTTGCATTGTTGGAATACACCCAGTATGTTCATGATGTATTTACTTTTTAGACATTGCCAGACCCAGTTTGCTAATATTTTGTTTTGGATTCTTGCTTCTATGTTCATAAGTAAGATTAACCTGCAGATTTCCTTTCTGTTTGCTTTTGCTTGTCTTGTTTTGGTTTCAAGCTTATTCTGGCCTGGTATAATGAGTTGCTGAGTATGCCTTTTTCTGTTCCCTGGAAAAGTTTTCATAAGATAGGAATGATCCTTGATTGAACATTTGATAGTCTTTGGATCTGGTCTTTTCTTTGTGGGAATGTTTTAAAATACTTATTTTATTCCTTTAATATTTATGGGACCATTTAGGATTTCTGCATATTTACACCCAGACACATATA